GGGACAGCACGGGGTTACATTGTCCCTATTAAACACTCCCAGGACAGGGACAGCACGGGGTTACATTGTCCCTATTAAACACTCCCAGGACAGGGACAGCACGGGGTTAGGTGATTGATGATGCAGTGCTTGCTTTACTATTGCCGTTGAGCATTAACTGTGCTGTCACTTTTGCCCTTATCTGTTTCAGCCTGTATTTCGGGTGTATCTTGAATGTTGGGTGGGGATACTCTGTAGCTTGCTTGAACGAAACAGCCTGTTGTATTTGTCTTGCAGGTTTGAACCCAGCTATGGGTTATCCTCACCATTCTCCCCAAGGTTTGATTGGGTTTGGTCAGCCCCGTCCCCCTGTGATGGGATTTGCAGGTAAGGTCTCCAAAACCGAATTAGCTTGACTGCCCTCAGATTGACTAGCAGGAAGTTGGGCTTGTTGTTGCTGTATATTTGGGCTGCACAATTACTTCACATTTATAGCAAGATGACACACAGGCCTTTCGGCCCATCGGCTCTGTGCTGGTCTTTCAGATCTGCATGAGCTTTCTCCCAGCTCCCCCCCTCTTCCTCTCAGCATAGCCTCCTGTTCCTTTCCCACTCCCTCCTTTGTTCATCCAGCTTCCTCTTTCAGTTTAGTTCGATGGTTCTCTGGGGGAACAAATTCAACATTCTTCCCACAGTCTGGTTGAAGAAAGTCGGGACAGGGTAACAATGCATGATCCATTTAGATATGTCCCTTCAATCCCTTCCAATTTATCATGGTGTTTGAGTTGCTTTGTACCTTGGGGCTTTCTCTTTGTCCTGATTGGGTAGATGAGGCATCAGTGTTGCTGTGACAACCCTGTGTGGATATAGTCATCTCAGGCCATACTCCCCAGGCGATCAGCGAAATGTCACTCCACGTACCCTTTCATACTCTTTCAGCTGAGTGATATTTGGAACCTGAAAGCTGCAGTGCATAAGTCTGGTTTATTAATCACTTTTTCGTGTGTGACAGATTTTAAGATTGCTTCAGAAGAAAACAGGCAGAAGTTAAAGGGACCAAATCATTTTGAGCTATCTGGCTTCCTTTGGTTGTACATCACGAACCATAAATTGTGTCAAACCCTCTTGCACCTTCTGGAGAGATAGGATCGGGGGGAAAGGGGTGTGGGGGGAGGGGTGTAAAAATGTTTGCACTCAGCTTTCACCAATCTGTGTCACAGTCAGCTCGCATTGAGATGGTGGGGAGAAGAAAAACTGCATACTGTAGGATCTTAACAACTGTTTTCATTGGGAGAGTTTGCAAGGATTACTGAGGCCAATGTAGAGTGAAGCTAGAAGGAGAAGGTTTTACAGGACGGTGTAATCTCACTTACAAGCTCTGCACCTAACTCATGTCAGGATGCTGGTTGTCACCATGCAATACTGAGCCTTGTTTCATCATTTGCAACAACATCGTTGATTTGTATCTTAACCCACAGCCTGCTTTCGTTTTTCTTAATATCTTTACCCGAGAGGAGTTTGTGAAAGAAAGCACAAAATATACACATTTTTGTGAAAGGTTTATCTGTCTAACATGGTACTGTCCCTACCCGGGAGTGTTTGATGGGGGACAGTGTAGAGGGAGCTTTACTCTGTATCTAACCCC